GTTTTATAATGTCACCTCCACTGATCATTAAGGTTCCCAAAAAGGCCTAGAAAAGACCCATGGACCATCAGTTGATAATCAGTTGTAGCTTGTTTTGTGGCTCCGGACACATTTTATTAGTGAGACAAGGAGCAGAAATGGCTCCAATGATCATAAAGGTTGCAGACCCCTGGGTTAGATTTTAGCCTAGCCTGGACAAAACCTTTTGTCCCACAGCTAATAAGGCAATAACTACTGATGCTTGTTTAACAGAACATTAATTAATGATGTGACTAGGTCTTTAAAACGAAAATGTATATCTTTTAAAAAGAGGTTCTGCAGAAAAGCTACAAAAACTGCATTTCTTACCTGTAGTTTGTAGCTCTTAGAGCATCCTCAGTCTGGAGAAATAAGTTTGAATCTGAGCAGATTGACAAGCTAACAGCTAGCCTACATGTGACAAAAGCAGAGCGCAGAGTAATCCGTTTTATTTTTTCCCAAATTTAACAATTTTTATTTTTATCTTTCTACGTTCCACGCTATTTTCTGAATCCCACATTTTCATTTTAACCATATTTATTAACCTAAAATGTGTGTAAAGTAACTGAAAAATGATTCAACAAATGAATAGTCACATAATTCTAACTTTAATGGCTGTTATTTAATTTTTAAAAATATAACAAATTGCTAGATTATAGAAGAACATTAATGCCTTTGAAAAGTATTTAAAAGCATTTAAAAAGGCGAGCGTATCTGGCTCGCACTAGCTTGTTTCTTTTTCCTTTTTTCTCATGCGCGTCACTGTGTATTTTTACATGTCCCATCGATTGYGTGCTGATGGCTGACTCTTTTTGTTTTCCTGTGTGGAGCATAGAGTCCACCCAGGTAACAGCAGGTACAGTGTGCGGCAGKGCTTAACATACCCCAGAAATTTTAYCTACWGGCCCAAACAAGCAAATTCTGTGAGATTCTGTGTTTTGTACCAAATTTCATTTTGTTTGTTAAACTCTGTGATTCTGTCCCCATTTTCCACATTACAGAAATCACAGGGCCCTAAAGATGAATTGCTGCCGCCTTACAAACGTCTGTATCACCAGCAGTTTTGCATTATAACTTTACATAAATACAGTTCTTGCAGGAAGCATCTCAGGCTGCACTTTAAGTGCTGCCTCTGCTATTTCTCTTTGCAAAAAACTAGAGGAATCTGTGAAAATAACCATGCTGTTACACGCTCTGTTGCAACCTTACGCCCAATTCCTGGATGTCTTGACTACCTTTGCTCCTGCCTGGTTTCTTCTTCATATCTGATCTCTGGACAATGATCTTGTTTCTGCTAACCAAACTCCGAGTTAAAGCTCCYCTCTTAAATTTGTTCTCTGCCTCTTTGTGAAGGCCCCTCGCTTGCCCCCTTGGAAGGTTAGTGGTCATTTTTCCTGATTCTCAGCAAATCCTCAGATTCTCTCCCAACCTGTCCTCTATTTTTATACAGTGTTTCTGACAGAAATCCCTGACTCCCAMWAGYYGCTTTAYKATAATAAATCCTGTTAAAYAATCTGGCTGAAAATTTGGGTCMAAAATTYYAGTCAGTACATACACAGGAAAAATAGTGGCAATGTAAAAATTTACAAGCTAGCATTAGCACAAACCACTTAAAAATTTTGATATTGAACTAGTATCAAGATGGCTGGAATCCACATTGGTCACAGCTGTTAGCGGTTAGCTTGTTATTTTGCTCTGAGTTGAACTCTTTCTCCAAATTAAGCTTCTTCAAAGAGTTATCTACAGCAGGTAAAATAATATTTGTTCGCAAACTTTTAACAGAACCCATCTTCAAATAATCTGAGCTGTTGTTTGAAATAACAACTGGTGAAGTTGTCAAATGAGCCTTTTCTTAATAAGTACGCCAGTATTACAAATGCTTTTGATTAAATTAAAAAATGCATGTAAATTACATAAATAACCCAAAGGTAGATGGTGAAGTATTAGTACTAGTAGCAAGTTGTTGACCAATGTTTTAAAGCAGTCCATGGTCCCTTAACAAGACTGTTGGAGTGGGATTTGGTGTTTAAAGTGCAAAACGAAATGTGGGCGGCACAGTGCCTCAGTTGGTATAGCTGGTGCCTCTCAGCAAGAAGGTCTCCGGTTCAAATCCCGGTCTGGGGACCTTTCTGGGTAGAGTTTGCATGTTCTCTCCATGCATGTGTGGGTTCTCTCCGGGTACTCCGGCTTCCTCTCACAGACCAAAAACATGACTGTTAGGTTAAGTGATAACTCTATTGTCCCTATGAGTGAGAGAGTGAATGGTTGTTTGTCTTGTTTGTCTCTATGTGTGTTTCTGTGATGGACTTGTGACCTGTCCAGGGTGTATCCCGCCCCTCRCACTGACTGCTGGATATGGGCACCAGTGATCCCCGTGACCACAGAAAAGGAATAAACGGGCATAGATAATGGATGGATGGTGCAAAACGAACAAAAAAGAAAACACAAAAAATAATCCTACAAAGAAACAAGGAACAATAACTTATGTGAGATTTATGAGAGAACAAGAAGAACAGGAAAATCATTCTGAACAACAAATATTTGAGGTGTAATATTATTATTATTTTAGAAAATACTTTGACTTTTTTTTTAGAATTTGATAAAATATAATACATCAGCGCCATCTCTCTATTTTATTTGTCTACATCTGTTTTTTGATTCTGCTTTATTCCTCTTTTCCCTACTTCTACAAAAGGAGAAAACGACCCTGACACTCCTGTTTGTGTACCACTCTTCATAAAAGGTATTGGAGGATATTAGGGAGGTCAGTTAAATTTCAGCTTACGAGGAAAAAAAGGAAAGAAGAGCAGGGAATTCAGGAAAAAGGAAATGTCTGTTCTGAAAAGGGTTTTAGGGCTGATTGCATTATTTGCAGTGAGCACGGGAAACACTGGGTTGCGGGTAAAACATCTCAAATCGGGGCTTGGACGTTTCCACAGAGAGGCTCACAAGACAAGAGGTGCTGGAGTGGGCACAGAAATAGTGAAGGGCAGAAAAGAAAGAGTAATGCTTACTTTGGAAAGTCGCTTGTGAGACTAGCATGCAAACAGGAGAAAGAAAATCAGATAGAAAAATAAAACAAAAAGTAAAAAAAAGGAACAGCTGAAAGAACAAGACAAAACAGCTGAAGAGTCTTTATCAGATGGAAGACAGTATTTTGTGACGTGTAGCAGCGGCAGAGCAAAAAGGAGAGATGACAATGAAGAGACAGAAGTCATTTAAAGAAACACAATCCCAACGTGATTTAAAACAGCAGTGACGTGAGGGCAGGATGGGAGGACAGATAAAGTACAAGTGGCATGACTTAGTCTAACATCCCAGGAGCTAAAAATTACAAACATTAATTTTTCACAAATTTTACTGTACAACTGTACTTCATATTTTTTCAGAAATGGAAGGGGGAATCTAGAATAAAGAAAATGTAAAGATTTTAGTCTGGAATAGAAAAACAATTATCTAATATACCACAGACAGATGTCACTACAGGTAAAAGAAAAAAAATGCATTACAATTATTTGAATCTCAAGGAAAAATAAAAAAAACATTAGTTTATTAACATACTTTTTAGTAAAAGTGTTCTTAACAGAGTGGTATAATTATGGCAATAAAAGTTTGCTGACTTTTTGGCCACACACAGCTCATTTAATTTTTTTTACAAGGTAGTTTAAGGAAATTCAAGACAGCAAATCAATCCATTTCAAGAACTTTTTTATTGTCCAGTTTTATCACTTTTCTAACATCACAAAACTCTTATTTAATTTGTATTTTCTCCAGTAGACATTTTTGGATATGCACATCTTTTCTCCTGATTAAGTTTAGGGCATGCTAATGCTCATTAATGCTGTTGGTCCATGTTATTTAATACCTAACTTTATTCCCAGCCTTTCAATGTCTTAAAACACCTAACGAGAAAAGTTCAAACACAATGAAACCAAACAAGACATCCTTCACACAGGAGTAATGTGAAGGTGCTGATCAAATTATGCCTTCATCAACTGAAAACACACCAGAACCAGGAGCCAAACTCTGGGCTCACCTCACCAGGGCTGACTGAGTAAAAACAAGTCTGTGATTCCCTTAGATGTTTGGGACACATGTGGATCAGTGTCTGCCCTTCACCAAAAGTGCTTTCAGTCAAACATTAGAAATTATCATATTATTTTAGGGACTTAATAATGATTTGATTAGAACTGTACTTTTACGTCTCTTGAAATTCGAGCTCATTCGGAAAACATCCTTGGCTGCAGTCGCTGCAAAGAAAATGTTTCAAATCTACATTTTAAAAGTGTACCTCATAAAATCATTGACGTTGAGGAAGCTGCCAAGGTGGGTACAAAGTGGATGGAGTTATCAGAAGTGGGTACAAAGGACCTCATGGAAGATTTTTTTTCCRGACCCAAATGGCATGGGTACAAAAGTGACCAAATGGGTGATTTAGTAAAAATATGAATTAACCTGAAATCCTAATGTGGAAAATTGTCCTGTGAGTCCTCACAGTCAGAATTATAAGACCACTGGTAAACCATTATCTCCCTTCAACAGTGACAGAACACACAGCTTTACAGCTTGAACCCTTTCTGCCATCACTGAAAGGTGCCTCTTCAGCATTATCTTCACTATAAAGATTTTCATTTCACAGCTTCATTCCAGGCCAAAAACCAGCATTTGTTTGTTGGTTTGTGGACTACGATGTCAACAGAATGATGCATCACAACTACGTATGACGAGCAGTGGTAAGTATAACATACATCAAGCTAATGTCAGTTTTTTTTTAATAATCTTAACAAAGCAGTTTTTTGTTCAGTGGCTCCCCCAGAATTGTTTAATTGGGGGGGGGGGGGGATTTGATACTGATTTTGAGTTATCGAAGCACTCCTAAATTTTATTCATTAAAAAAATATTAACATAACCCGAGACTCTGGATCCAAATGTTGAGGACATTGGTTTTGATGGTTTTGGACCAGTAGACCTTATTAAGGAGACYAGATTTCTATGTTTTACCTTCGAATAAAATATATTTTTACATTTTTAACTCGAATTTGCTGGATATTTTAGTTTATATTCATGAAGTTTTACTAATCCTTAAAATAGGAAATAAAAAAATGCACACCAGGCAAAAGCTTGGGACTCTAAAGGCTAAAATAGTTTAGGGGTGCCCATTGCTCCCCTGTCCACACATTGGTGGTGCCCTTGTTTTTGCTTTTACCTACTTTTAAAAATAATTTAGAAACATATAATTAACACAAAAAGTAAGGTGTGTGTTTGAAAGATTATTTATTGTAACAATGTTTCTTGGTAATAAGTCTTTTGCTGTTGGAAAGCCTGTTAATTTCCCTTTTAAATGGAGCCACAWTTGTAAGGAACATTTGAAAGACGAGCAGTAGAGCTGAGTTCGTGTTGAGCACATAGAAATTGACCAAAACTTCCCTGGCAAACAGCTTATTTCACTGTTGCCATTGACACATAAAACACAAATTGCCTGACTTTTTGTGCTGAGTTCAGTCAAACTGAGAGCTTGATCTCCTCCTATAATAGACTAAAACTCTGAATCATCAAAACACTACACACATAGACAGTTACAGCTGTGTTTGATCCAAATTAAAACCTATATATTTTGTTAGTTAAAGCTTTGCAGCTGGTTGTGTACAACCTTATGGTGATATTGTATCTGTAGCTTTGGCTCAGATTAAAAGGTAACTAGAGAAAATGTTACATGGGATAAAGTGCTGTGTCCTTTTTTTTGTGAATCCTTTTAAAATGCTGACTTCTTGTAATCTGAGCACTTAAAGCTTAAGTAGGAGTTTTTTTTTGTTTAAACTGCAAAAACTGCTGAGATCCTAGTAAAATTATCTGACTGTAATGTATGTAAAACTCTTGTTTCCCCCTCTTCCCTTCCGTCAGCTACTGAGCAAATGCATCAGGCAACAAGGAGTAAGTCCTGCGTGCTCACCTTGGAGTTCTTTCCGCCGCTTCGCGCCGACTGCACCGAGTACGTTCTCTGGACGACCTGCTCAGGCGTGGAGGGGGACTTGTCAGAGGAGTGGTCCGAGCCCTTCTCCACCATGTTCTCACCCTCCTGGCTCTGCGGTGTGGGAGAGCGCGAACGTTTACGCAGGACTGGTGAGCAGGTGGGCGAGCTCTTGTTTGAGTTACTGGCAGTGCTGGAGGGAGAGAAAGAGCGAGGGATGACAAAGCCATCAATATTTTTCACCTTTATATACTACCACACGTAAAAACAACRGTTTGGTCTTTAAAAAAATACAAAACTGAACCAATCAAACAAAGTTAAATGTATCAACTTACACAGATTTTTACTTTTTTTTGCAGACATAAAGCTCTTTACAGCCTAAAAACATCACTCTTAACTTATGTCAGTCATATAAAAGTGATAGTGGTATTCTAATTTTCATCACATTTTAAATAAATTCTAAAATAAATAAAAAACACTCAAGATCTCAGTGACCATGCTGAACAAAACTCCTATTAAAGATTCATTCACGGGTTAGCACAACAAACACACACACACACTGCTTGTGTGCCACCTAAGACTTAAGAGGCTTAAAACATCATGTGCTAACTTGGCTAATAACACTTGAGCTAAACCAAGGAGTCAACATCAACAACAACAACAGCAGCAGAAAAACAGGAAAGAAAAAAAAAACAAGTAGAATATAATCAAAACACAAAATCTGACATTTTTCTTTAACACAGCCTTTAAAATGCAACAGTTAAAGTRACGGGTGTCTATCTTTTAGTTTATCGATTACACTAAAACTAAAATGATTTCCTAGTTGCAAAACAATCAAACCTCCCTCTGGAGGCTGGAGCAAGGATTAAATGATTACATGCACCAACAGGTGGAGAGCAACAGGACGTGGTTTAGAAAGTTTTACCTCAGGAGCTGGTTTATTATAGTAGGTTRGTAAAAGTGGCACAGACCACTGTGGTCTGTTAGTAAAATATCTCATGAACCACTGGGTAAGAGAAAACAACTACTGGTTGTACATCTCCAACTGATTAACTTTTAATATCAACAGCTAAGGGATTTTTAGCAAACACAGAAATTCAGTCGATTTTTTCACTGAGTATCAAAAGACAATTCACACAGATTTAGATTATGATTGATTAGAGATTATCTATCTACCAGTTCATGCTGCCAAAAGTTTTATGCATTGAATGATTTTTTTCTCATTTAAGTTATTGTGTAACTTCTTAGCCTCAAGCAGCATCYTCAACCATCAAGCCTCCAAGAATGATATACAGGGCTGCATAATATCTTGAAAATTTATTGTCATTGCGATAGCAGCCTGTGCAAAAGGCATATCACAAAACATTGCACAAAGTGCAATAAACAGCTGGCTTAAAAGTTGGCAGTTATGAGTTTTGTCACTCAGACAGAAGCTTGAAGTATTTCACCAATCAAATGAAGCCCTTCATGTATTTGGCCGTTTGGATAGATGTCTTCATATTTAAAAAAAATGCTGATTAATTTTTTTGTTTTTTTTGCTCTGAACCCAGAACAGAAAGACATCCAAACTACATACTTATGTATTTGTTCATTTATTGCAAGTCATATCATCATCCCAATATTAAGCACTTTTATCGCATGTTAAAGTTGTGCAGCCCTGATGTGGACTTCCATACCTACAGATCTGAAACTGATTTCTGACTGGAACTCCTACCTTTTTAATGACGTTATTATGATTTGCTTTAAAATTTGCTTTATGAATTGTTTTAATATGTGACCCATCACATCGAAACGAGGATTAAGTCTAAAAATGGTATATGGAGAAATAGGCAAATATTCTGTTTTGATTAAAACACTTACAAAAATTGCATTAGTTAAAATATAACAAATAGCCTTATCAATGCTTCATTTGAATGAACTGTGTGAAATATAGTCATAAAATTTTTTTAAAGCTCTCTTTTGAGCAGTAGCAAAAAAAAAAACAAAAACTGATTTTGAGGAAAAATGCCTTTTAATTTGGAGATTTTTCCTGTGAGGTAGCAAAGTTTTTGTTTCTTTCCAGCTGGAAAACGTCAATATTCAAATACTATTTGAGATTTTCTCTCCATAATGAAATGAAAAATTCCTCATAAAAATGACATAAAATAAGGATTCAGACCAAATATTAATGCATTATCGTAACCAACAAGACAAATTAAGGCATATCTCTGGTTCTGTTTATGATATCAGAATGATACAAGTATCAAAATGTAGCTTTTAAAGCCAATAATCTGAAAATGTGATGAGGTCATTTTGACCAAATTTGACTTAATCCTCATTTCGATATGATGGATCACATACTGCAATGTTTTATTCTTTTTACACAGTTTTATTTTCATGGCGTTAAAAGCCCATCTGGGACTGGCGTCACAAACCAGCCTCGAATATAAATGTTTTAGTATAAGGTATTCTTAATACTCGACACTTGTCCCTATTCAAATAAACAATAAATGAGATTGACTGACATTTTGAGCTAAAATTTGGTGCGGCAGGAGCTGAGAATCATTCATGACGCCCGAGTGCAGACAGATTAAATAAGATCTTGCACTTTTGTGTGAGACTGTGCCTAACACTATTTTCAAGATTTGACCATAAGAGCAACAACTTAATTATTTATCTGATTATCTTAGTTTAAAACTTTAACATGAAAGATGGCACGTTAGACTCCTAATTTATTGTTTTATTAAAGAAAACTCTACCAACAGCTCCACTAACAACTAGAGGAATGGTTATGTTGCTAACCTTTGTGCCCCACATCAGTTTTCTGATTAAAGATGGCTGGACCTCAGAACCCTCTCCTTCCAGCGACGACAGCAGCTAACTAAAGTTCCTGTTAAATGATCTGCTCGGCATGGTTACTTGACATGGTGTTATGCAAGCCATTACATCACAGTCGGCCAGTAGCTGCTGTTAGTAACCATGAATTACAGATATGCAGTTACAGGCAGGACTTTGGTGCAGCTCGGAGGCCTGAGTCACAAAGGCCAGTGCTGACAGCTTCTGTCCAACTGTGAAGGTTCTGCTGCACTGATAGCTGGTGGGTTTGAAGGAACGAGCCCAAAACTTTCATAGAATGCAGTTTGCATGCATTTATAGTTAAACACACAGATTTTCAAATAATGTATGTAACTGATCAGTATTTCAGAAAAAAACATTTCTCAGAGATGCTGAATGGTAGACACAAAGACAAAGTCAAATTGAATCCACTTTTACTGGGCTGTGACYATAGGCGGTTAGTTGGCAACTGAAAAATGCAAGAAAATTCTGAGAAATTATTAAATTATTAGAGAGCTCTGTTAATGTAGCGAATTTTGATCAGCATGACTTAGAAAACTGTATTTGAGGCCATGCACATTGTACTTTTCTCAACACACATACACACACACGCACACACACGCACACACGCACGCACGCACGCACGCACACACACACACATAATTGTGTGATTTATCATTTTTTTAAGACGAAGTTTGTTGCAGAAAGTATATTCAAAATTCACGCAACAAGACTGCAAGCTTCTGTGCCTCATGGGAGGAAATTGAGACATTTTGGAGACTTTCTTACAAGTGATGTTTAAACCAGATACTGAGCTAAGATACTGGCTTTAGGGGTTTCAATCTTCACACTACCACCAAGACTTTGCTACTCTCAGATTTTGATTTTTTTTTATTTCTTACACCAAATTTTCAATTTCTTATTATCTACAAGGATATTTTGAACTGGTTTGTTCATATTCATCAGGGTAAAATCTGCCCGAGCCAGAAGACAACGCGGTGAGAAACAGGACATTGGTGAACTTTTCGATGTCTACTACTGAAAAGACTGATCTATGGCCATTTTCCACACCTAAATAATGGAGACGGGCCAGACTTRTGAGATGGGTTGATTTGGTCCTGAATATTGAGCTGCACTAACTAACAGAGCGGAGAACCACAGAAAACCTGCAGCTGATACTGGATAACACCCAGAATCCTCTGCCCATCATCATCATCATCATCATCATCATCATCATCATCATCATCATCATCATCATCATCATCATCATCATCATCATAATCATCATCATCATCATCATCATCAGGCAGAAGTGTGTGTTCTGTGACAAACTGCTGTCACTTCCACACACAACAGAAAGACTTAAGAGACTTAAGGTTTTGATTACTTTAGTTTATTTATTGAGTTTAATGTATTTATTTAACACCATGATTGGCATTCAATTGCCTACTTTGGTCATTTAATTAGTTTAATGTATTTATGTAATTAATTTAATGTTTTAATGCCATTATGCTGTTACTGGACATTTGGATTTTTTTTCTAGGAATAATGTCAGTCTGAAACTTTTCAGAAAGATTTATAAAAACTTCAGACTAGCAACCTGCTAAAACGTCTATTTTATAGAGCTAGTTACAGTTCCTGGTTACCTCAGTTAATAAATAGATTTAATTATCAGCCCCTGATTTAACAATCTTTATTCCTAAAGAGACAATTATTTGATTTTCACAAACTGCTTCTGTGTCTTGGTTTTGGTTAAATACATAAAAACATAAAATAATAGGTCACATTTTTTTCATCTCAGACCATTTTACATGAGTTTTACGACTTCAAAACACCAGGTAAGTCCTAATTATTCTAGATATGCACATTATAGAGCATGTCAGGGGGATTTAATAATAAGACAAGAACTATTGAGTTGCCGTCTTTGTCCTTTAAATCTGAGAGATCAGCAGCAGCTTTAAAAAACTAATTGTTCTGTTGTGTAAAATAGCAGGACCACTCAGGAAACAACTGGACGACTAAAATTACTTGTACACTGCAACCAAACTAAAGCCCACATAAATAAATCAGTGAGCAGAAACTTAAAAAAATGTTTTAGGTTTAATCTAGATTCTGTTATGAAAACGATAAAAAGTCTGTGTTGGAAAGAGTGATATTTAAGAGGTCTCTCAGCTAAAAGCAAAACGCATCAGTGTTATTTATATAGCATCATATTTTCTGCATTTTGACACCAAACTACAAGGATCTGTAAATACAGTAGGTGACTAAACCAAACTGAACACTGGTTAGTAGAGAAGTCAGAGATGAGCGGTAATATGAGTACTGTRATACACATCACAAAGCAGATATAGAAATGTTCATACTCTAATGAACAAAAGT